ACCATTTTGGAGGGAAAGATCGAGGGGGGACGGGAAAAGTCAACCCAGTCGCAGCTACATAGACCAAATAAAGAAAAAGGCCGGTGTCGTGTCATAGAAGGAGGTCAAGGAGCTGGCTTATAGGACAGATGATTGGAAGATGCTCCACCGACAAGAGTATAACACTTAAGCTTGATGATGAAAAGCAGAAATACAATTATTTTATGAGTCAATTTCATATGAAATTTACCATGAGTTTTTCGGAGTTAAGGAAAAGCATCGTGATGAAAAATGCAAGTCGAAGAAGGTTCACAAACTGTTACGAATCATGTCGTGATTTAGTAATAGTTTCGTAATATCAAGCATAAATAAATCTAGTCTGTTATGATACCTAAGAGTAGGGAACTAACACGACAGTCCAAGCATCTCAAATTCTGAAGGCGAGATATCAGGCGTCTGCTGGGAGTGCACTGATTGGTCGGCACTGCAGTTGGTCAATCAATCAATCAGCCTGTTGCAGCCCATTGCTGGACATAAGCCACGCCATAGTGCCCGATCACCCGTTTTCCGCATCCAACCACTACCCGCGATCTTCTTCAGATCGTCGGTCCATCTTGCAGCGGGACGTCCTACGTTACGTTTGCCGAGACGTGGTCTCCACTCGAGAACAGTCTACTCCATCGCTCACCGGTTCTGCGACAGATGTGACCAGCCCACTGCCACTTCAGCTTGCTGCATTTCTGGACGATGTCCACAACTTCGTTCCGGACTTTGTTCATTAACGATATACCCAGCATAGACCTTTCCATTATTCGCTGAGCGACGTGTAGTCTTTGTGCCAGTTTGACCGTCATTCCACGTCTAACAACAGTTGGTAAGTTTGCAAAATGTTTGTTACCAACTTAGACACAGTATTTGTTGACTACACTGCCTGAAGATAGAGTATGACGAATTAGTAACAGAATTAGAATGAGACCAGCCACTTGAACTAAAGGTATAAGAGGGCATGTATCGATGGCAGAGGAAGGGCTGTAGGGGTGTGTGTGGAGGCTCATCATAGGGATCAGAGGATCCCACTTGTTCAGATTAGAGGATCGATATGAGGTCAAGGACCTATTAGCTATAATTTGGACCTTTTCAAGGTAAAAGTCCTATGAAGTAGAATGCAAGGGTCAGTGAAATGCAAGAGTCAGTGGAAAAGAAATCCAGTCTTGTCGAACGGCCATGATTAGTCGTTTGAATTTGACACTTAAGGCAGTCTCCGACTGGAGCGATGCCACTCTTGTTAAATTTAATGCTACCAAAAAGCAGGTGTGTCTATTTTCCACAAAACGGAGTACCTTTTACCTGACTCCGACTTTTCGTGATATGTCCATACCGATAGCAGTCCGTCTCCGGCTACTTGGAATGGACCTGTCGTGCAATTTGAACTTCGGCAGATACATTGAATCCATGGCCAAAAAATGCAGCCAGGAAGCTTGGCATCCTTTCCAAGGTGAGATGTTACTTCACACCGGGACAGTTGCTTCAGCTGTACCAAGCACAAGTCCGGTCGTGTTTGGAGTACTTCTGTCACTTATGGGATGGCTCTGCTAAATACCAACTGGCCACCTTGAATTCAATAGACAAGCATGCCAAAAGGCTTGTAGGTAACTCGGATTTAGTTCAGGTGAAGCTGCAGAGCCTTGAACACCGCCGTAATATTGCCTGCTTATCGGTATTCTACAGGATATATCACGGAGAGTGCGATGGAATTGCATAATTTGATTCCGCCTTCCCCTTCCCATCATCGGGGGACTAGACGTGGGCTGGGATTCCACCCCTATGTTGTAGATATTCCCAGGATTCGCACGAAACGTTTCGCTTCCACATTTATATGGCGAGCGGATAAGTGGAATTCCCTGCCTGCGGACGTATTCCCCGAACGCTATAATTTGGACCTTTTCAAGGTGAGAGTAAATAGGCATTATTTAGGTGCGCATGCTCCATCGTCGACCTCATCATCACATTCCATCAGGTGAGATGGAGGTCAAATGGCCATTTATTTTTAATAGAAAAAAAAAGAAAAAGAATGGAGTTAGAAGAAGTATACGCGAAGAAAGATACTCTATTTAAAAGTTGTTGTGATAGAAAGAATGTAGCATATTTGTAACTTACATTATGATTGAACCTAGGCGTGGCGACACAAACCTAGGAAAATTTGTGACGTCCTCAACCCACATTGGAACAGCGTGGACCCGTGCCCAGCTGTGGGACATATAAATGTGTTGATAATGATGATTACGAGTGTTGTTGAAATTAGGACTAACAGATAATATCTGAAGAACCCTGTGATAGTGATCGCTTTCCTTGATAATAAATAATTGCTTTAGAAAATTAAAATTAGTTTAGCTTTACATATATGATTAGCAGAATTGACACTTTTAAAAAATCTTATATCTAATTTTATTTATATAAACATTTGAAACAAAACAAAATTAAGCGCTAGGTTTAAATCTAATAGAACACATTGTTTTTATTAAATTAACCTAAAAACATTAAAAACAATATTCAAAAAATAGGATTTTTTAAACTTTAATATTGCCACAACTGCCCCTGTATTTTTTATTGTGGAACTTTCTTTTGAGCTTCGCCTTACAAGCATTTTTTTTTTCTTAAATTAAATTAAAATATCACACTAAAACTAATTATTGATTTACGATTTAAAAATGTATATTATTTTTATAAGTAAATGTAATTATACTGGCCGTTAGTTATGTAATAATGCCACAAAAATGTATGCAATAATTTACAAACGTTGAACGTTTGTTACGGAACGTAACTTTCCTATTTCAAGCAATGGTTTTGTAACCAAAGCTCAATTAATGAAGCAATATGGACATATACTGGGTTGTCTATAAACTAACAAGCTCAAAGGGCTGTATTTATTAACATCATAAACAATAACTTTTGTTCTATGAGTTTTAATAATTAATTATATTTTAGATTGCCCTAAACGGTGATACCTCTGTGTGGCAAAAGATAGCGCTAGCGTAAATACTAGATGCAAAATGCTGGATCGGGGATAGGGGTTGTGAGAGACACGCTTTTCGATGTTTGAAGTTATTACCTTACTACCAATAAAAAAATATTTTTGGAAAATTTATTATGTTTTATGAAAAGACATGGAACAAAAGTTATTGATTATGATTTTAGTAATATAGTCCTGCGAGATTGTTATAATCTGTTTTTTTTTTGAAGACGGAATAAAATGACTGTTCATTGCGCAAAAGTGTTGCCCACTTGCGAGCAGCTAGTGATTGCAGTCGATAAATATTCTATCGACTATCGATAGAATATTAGTCACGCTTATGGAATAAATAGCCAAACTTGTTTCATTTGAATCGCCCTCGAGGTTACCTATCAGTAGTGCGAAATGACATTTTCCAGAAATAACTTTTGCTCGAATTTTCATAATCTCGAAAGTAATTTTGTGAGGATAATGTTTTTTCTTTTAAACCTAACTTAACCTAACTAAAACTAATCGTGTCTTTGCGATAAACATCCAACATATCCTGAAAGAACAACGGTTTCGTTATAATTCGGTTATCGGTGTAGTGAAAATTCGAACAAAAGTTATTTCGGGAAAAAAATTCGAGCTTGTCGTAGGTATTTTAGGAAATTACGGTAAATTAAAATTGCTTATTAGTCTTGTAAAATGGCTAAATTGTAATTAGTTATAAGGTTTTGTTTTGCATTATAACAAAAAAAAAAAGTTTGTCATAGGTTACCATCCTTTATCCATCCATATTTATCCAATTACTGAGCACAAGTTCATTTGAATTGTCAATTTTTGTAAGTTCATACATACAACATACACTGTATTTAGAACTATGTTTATGAAAAATACAAAAAGGGGTCATATTGTTAAGTTTTTCTTTTTAATTCAATATAGATAATGAAATCCGGCTATTTTTATTAACATGTATATGAATACAAATAGATCTCGATACTAGTCGACTCATTGTCAAAATGAGAATATAGAAGGTAATAATGTTTTTTGGCAAAATTATTATCTTCTTTCACAAACTATCGCTAAAATTATCGACAATAACTACATAACTATGTAAAGTTTTATGGAAACTGGCAACCCTACGAACGTCATTTTACTCCGTCTTCAAAAAAGACAGCGTTTTAAAAATAATCCTGTACAGTACATTTCTTTCCCGACTCACTGTCGTAGTAAGCATTAATACAAATTTTAATTGCAACATACTTTCGGTTGAATACTTCTTATGTACGTCGTGTCGCACTCAATCACTAAGTTAAGTTCGCTTTTAAAAGCCAAATTTTATCGGATACGACAAAAATGTCAACTACAACAGTAAGTGAGAATGGGGTATAAATTAAGTACGTTTGTTAAAAATGTCACAAAAATTGTAACATTCGTCCCCATACAATATGCATCGCCTAGGGAAAATTGTTAGTCTAAAGGACTTTAACATTCTATACTTATTCATAACACCGTGAGTTGTTATTTTCTCATAAATGACCTAAGAAATACCAGTTTGTGGTGGGGCATTAATTCGAATGTAGTCCGTCTAATATCGTTCCTATCATTTGTCGTCCTGATTTGCTTTCCTTTGTCGTCTACGCATGTTGTTTGTTTTTTAACCGACTTCACAAAAAGGAGGAGGTTCTGAATTCGACTGTATTTTTTTTGTATGTTACTCGATTACTCAAGCATTTGTAAAGCGAATTTGATTTGTCTTTTTTTTTCGTGTGAAAGAGGATACCTCAGTATTGGTCTTATTTAAATTTGAAGAAAATATTCCACCTTTAAGGGTGGCAAACTAGGGGATGAATCCGGTTTCGCGCACTTTCCGGTAACCGATTGTTAACTTTAAATTTTTTGTACGCATATAAAAGTCTGAAGTCAGTTCCTTTTTTTAATTTAATTACTAGACTAACAATGATTATTTTTATTGTAAAAACATTGTTTTTGTCTTTTAGAAGTCATGGTTCGATCATAACCGATGGCGAACAAAGCCAGATTGCTGAAAAACAGCTGTAGGCTGAGACTACCTTTTTATCTACATTTCATAAATGTTCTATGCGTACACACTACAAATATGTGTGTGATAAATAAACCTCTATTTGTTTAACAAACAATTGGTTGTAACAAAGGTTGTCTTTTAGCACTTTAATTGGGATATCCATTTAATTGGAATTATTTGGGAATTTGGGACTAACTCGGTCATAGGACTTTTTTGTATAAGGGTGCCTTCAAATTAGATGCTTGTAGAAGCGCTACAGAGGCGCGACGCTGGCGCAGCAATCGCGCGTCTGTAGCGTTTTAATCATTTTTAGTTCACTAATTATAACTACAGTGTTACAGTGTCGCGCGCGTGTTACGACAGTTGCGCTGCAACTGCGCTTCTATAACCGTCTAATTTGAAGGGGCTCTAATGGCATGTCACGTAATCCACACATTGCAACTAAGTTGTTTTGAGCACGTTAATTGAGATATCTAGCATATTGGGACTATTTGGGACAAACTCGGTCATAGAACATTTTTTGTCTAATGGCGTCTCATGTGTAATCCAAGGTGATCGCTTCTGGCGAAAGAGCGTCGGCATAGGGGACATGCAAAGGGTCTGTGGCCCGTATGCTTCCTCGTGTGGCGAGTGAGCTCGTCCGATCTCGCGAACCGCCATGTGCAGCCAGCCCAGCCGCAGGAGTAAGGCTTTTCTCCTAAACAAGAAAGGTATTATTTTATATATTCTATTATAAACATTTAAAAAAATTACGTACATTAAAAACTTAAATACTACGATAAAATACGGTTGCTGTGGTGTTCCATGGAGTGTCATGGAAAGAGGCGGCGGAGCGGGAGCGAGATGAAGACGCTTCTTCTCTTCATATACTTTTCGTACAACAATACTTAACAACTTTTAACTGCCTCGGTGGCCAAACGGTTACCTTTCTGGACTGCCACGCAGAGGTTCCGGGTTTGATTCCCGGGCCGGGAGAAATATTTGTAGTTCCTACATTTATTTATTTCGTGAGTTTGGGTGTAATTGTGTCCATGGCACCCGCGATACAGGGTTTCCTTAGTGTGGGGCTATAAGTGTATCCGTTATTATAGTGTATGTATTGTATGCACCACAAATCTTTGGGGCGTAGGCGTAGACAAAAACAGGGTCTTTTGCCACCCAATGAACAAGGGTTTATAGGTTGGTCAGCGTGCCAAGTATTCCATGCTATTAATGATGGACAACCGTAGGCGGGGCCGTGGATCGTAAACCCAGTCCCATGTCCCCACATATCACATGCCGGAATAACCGTGTGTTTTTAGTGAGTAGGAGCCTCCCATAATCATGCCTATCCGTGATGCGGTGGTATCCATGACGGAAGAAAAAAGTGTAGCTGTGGTAAGCTAAGGTAGTAAGATCAAATGTCCCCCCGGTCGTGCGTTTTGCATTGTATAGCGATTTATACTTTTATCTTTGTACGAAAGTAAAATCTGATAAATTTTTAAAAGTCATGGAAGAAAGGTTTAAGTCACAGTTGTATATCGATGCCTTAATTTCTCAAACTCGTACCTTATAAAGAGTGGTTATTCAGGAGATGACAAAACTTTCTATTTATTTTAAATTTCTTATCAAGGGTGTTAATTTTAATGCATTACTTTAAGAATTGGTAAAAGCCAGTGTGTGGAATATAAAGGAAATGTGACTTGAAATCAGCCTGCAAAATTTGTACATACAATTCATTATTTGTATTTCAGTAACTTTGTGCTTTAAGATACGAGTTTGAGAAAGCAAGGCGACGATATGATGTTAGTAATATAATTATGTGAGGTGGTTAGTATTTTAGAAATAATCTTGAATAAGTGAGTATTTATACTCTGTCTTTTTTGGAAGGAGTAAAATGACAGTTTATTTGCGCAAAAGTGTTGCCCAGTTACAAGCAGCTAGTGATTGCAGTCGATAAATATTCTATCGACTATCGATTGAATGTTGGTCACGCTTACGCATTAATAGCCGAACATGTTTCATTTGTATCAGCATAGGCCCATTATTTGTAAGTTTATATAAAATAAAAGGAGATATCTTAAAGCTTTTCATTTTCATTTCAATATAGATAATCAAATCCACTTGTGGCGGCTCACCTAAAGCCTAACAGAGAACCGGATGAAGTCCATGCAAACGGGCTGATCTGGGGTTAGGGCCTGACTTAGATGATCCGCGAGCGTGCGCAGGTCAAAGTGCCCTTCTCGTATACCCTAAGGGTCGATAGGTAAGGTTCACTATAATCAAAATGAACGTGGAAAGATATGGGGCTGTTCTTATTAAAATGTATATGAATAAAGTAGTAGATCAACTGTCAAAATAGAAGAAAGCAATAACGCAATTAGTATTTATCAGAATATCGTAACATTCACAATGCAGACATTTTTTCACATTCTATCGCTAAAACTGTCAACAACAACTACGTGACTACTTAAAATTTTATGACAACTGGCAACCTTGCAAATGTCATTTTACTCCCTCTTTAAAAAAGACGGACTACTGATAAACATTTTTGTACGTAAACAAATAAACAAACCTGTATGTGTCCGTTTATGTGCTTTGAGATGCGAACTCTTCGTGTAGACTTTATGACACCCAGCTACATCGCATTTGTGGAGCCGTTTACGAATATCTTCGTTATTGTTCGTTATATCCGTTTTTTGGGGCTGGAACAACATAAAAATAATAGAAGTTATTGAAGCGACATCTCTAGTCGGCGATGGTAGCTGTAAAGGTAACTCTCTGAGTGAAGAAATAAATTTCTCACAGACGGCGTTACGGCAAAAAAGTCGTTAAAAATAAAAAAAAACGAAGATGTGCAACAAACACATAGAACGATTCGTTAAGGTGGGTATGCATTAGGCTCGCGCACCGACTGTGCTCCGCGAATCTGCAACTGCTCTATTAGTGGATACGTTAGCAGGCAACGTTGCTCCGCGCGTTGGCGGTTTTTGCGCGAACACAAAGAAAACTATGGAGCAATTGCAGATGCGGAGATGAGTCGATACACGAACCGATGGAGCACTTAGCTTTTTTCGAGTGTTGCACGTAACGTCTCCATTTGAGCGGATACAGATGCGCGGACCAGGGTTGGTGCACGAACTGGACCTTAAGGTCTGCTTCGTAAAACTTATATAAAATATAATAATGAAATGTAATGAAAACAATTATAAGCTGGAACGTATGAAATAGACTGCACTTGTTAAATTCTGTACCTCCAGTGTAAAACGGTTAAACTCAAGTTTATTCAAAACGTGGATTTTGATACTATTGCGTGTTTTTCGTAATGTTACATCGTTTGTTTTGACACTTGTGGTTACGCGATCATTGGCTGCGAAGATAACGATTGCGCAAAGGGATTAATGTTAGCAAAAATTTGCAAGTAATTTGTACAAAATGGTTTATTTTTTATTTATCTCATAAGCAATAGCGACATTCGCAAATCGTATGTTTTAATTGTGGTAAACGTCTACTATTACCAGTATGAAGAAATTAAATGTCGTACGAGTGTTGGTGTAAAGAGATGACACTATATGTATTTTGTTTTATAATACCGACCTAATATTGTGTAAAGCGGTAAAAATTATGTTTTATCGATACCCGCAAACAATTTTAAGAGCGTGAATTTGTGTAAAGCGGTACTATTTTACTTTGATCACTTTTTGATAACTTTTTGTTTCTTTAGATAGACTCTACTTTAACCATTTTATACATTTCCATTTTTTGTGTAAAGTGGTTATAAACAATTTATGTAAGCCAATATCTCTGTCATTTTTGCAAAATACAGGTTCATTTGACAATCAACTTATTACTTACCCTTTATTCTATCTGAAAAGAATTGAAAAAAAAAAATATTTTTTTGTGGATGAGTCAGATAAAAACTGATTCAAAACGAGTTTTCGCTCTCATGTAAAATAGCATTTTTTGAGTTTAACACATTTACACTGGAGGTATAGAAATATTTATACAGAAGGCTGCCATAATTGCCGCAAGCAATTTCTTCAGTTAGGTGAGGAATGTATTCAATATAATTTTTGCGAAAAATTGCTTCTGGTGCCGTGGACTCCCCGGAATTCGTGTCCAAGATTTCTCTTAAAGCCCCTACAAAGTCCCTTAGGTTTAATTCACTATTGTACTACGGCATCATCCAATTTCCGGCGGCACGCATATCTCCTACGTGTGAACAATGAATTGTCCAAGCACGTTTATATTGACCTTTTTATAACACTAGTGTTGCATCGGTGAAGCGTCTTACATTAATTTTGTTTCAGTTTTTACTCTGTAAGATAGCCGTTGGTCTTTCAATAAGTTAAAATAAAATGAAAATAAAAATAACATCTTTATCTTTACCTGACTGCTGGTGATCGTGCGAGTCGGAGCTAGAGCGTTCAATGCGGACTGGAGAAGCAGCTGGTGCAGCTGTATCTCTGTGTTCCCGGGTGGGAGTCTGGACGGTGACACAGCGGGGATGGGCAGGTCCGGAGGTTTCGACCTGAAAGAATATGAACAAATGCGGCGTGATGCATACTGGAAGATATTGAGGAAGGCCTCCGTTGTCGAGCATAACGGTTTTCATGGTGTCGCCATCTCTGAGGTTCCGGGTTCGATCCCCGGCCGGATCAGTGTAGAGAACTCACTTTTTTTTCTAGGGTCTGGGTGTTTGTGGTACAATCACACTTTTGTAAGTAGTAGTACATAACTAAGACTTGTTTATACGTATAATATTTGTTTGTGAATTTATTTCAGTTTCGTATAATTTGCTTTGATCTTGGATTTTTTTATTGTTCTAAGTTTCATTTATTTTGATTTAATTTTGGGTTAAAATTACTTTACGTGCTGAACAACAACGTTATTCTTATTTTTGTTCTTGTAAATGTTTTTATTTGTGCAGTTTTGGGCCGGGTCAGTGTAGAAAACTAACTTTTTTATATTCTCTCGGGTGTGGTTTGGGTGTTTGTGATACCGTCTTTGTTGCCGATTTCCATATCTCTAGTGCTTTAGTTACTTACTTTGGGATCAGAGCAACGTATCTGATTAAGTCTAATATTAAGGTGGAATTTTAGTGACAGTAAGGGCGCGTTCCCATTATGTCGTGACGACAGAAACTCGTGCAATTTAAAGTGTCGTAGCTTGTGTATTTAAATCACATATGGGCAACATGCGGCCCGCGGGCCGCATCCGGCCCGCTGTAAGATATAATCCGGCCCGCGAGACATTTTGAAAAAAAAAACTCAATGAAAAAATATTAAACTAGGTACTTACACTCACAGCGACAGTGAAGCCCCAAACATCTAATCCTTTGATGTTTGCCGCCTCACTCTTTTATGTCTGACATCTATTGACACTAATTACTTTAAAATGCACTAAGCACTTTTAAACGCGGCCTGCGAACCTATTTGCATACTAAAGTTTGGCCCTCAACATGTTAAAGGTTGCCCATACCTGATTTAAATGAACCTGTTCACATATGTATATATCACTTACAACACGATTAACTGTCGTTCGACAGTCTGTCGTGACAATCGACAGTCGTCCGATGATAAATAAAACGTCACGATAAAAATGTGACGACAGATAATCGCAGTGACTGCCATGAACCGATAAATTGTCGTCACGATCCAGTGGGAACAGCTAGACACGACAGTCGTTCAACGATAAAATAATCGTGCACGACACAGTCACCACAGATAGTCGTGATATGGGTACAGGCTAGAAACGAAAGAGTCCGTTGAGGCAAGTACTACCACCATAATTTATGCCACCAAGAGTGATGTAAGCATTACTACGTTCCAGTTTTGAAGGTGGGATCTCTGACATTTAAAACTCCGAGTGACACTGCCACTGTTATGGGTAGATGTGTCAACAAACGACGAGTACCTTACGCCAATTGCTAGATCACTGTTCTAGAAAACTATCGAAATGCATGTAAGTAGAATGTTTGTAGTAATATAATTTATGTTTCATGGAATTCGTAGGAGAACTAAGGTAACCGACATAGCTCGAGGAATTGCTCAGCTGAAGTGGCAGTGGGCGGGGCACATAGCTAGGAGAACCGATGGCCGTTGGGGCGGAGAGGTTCTTCAATGGCGATACTCAGTGGGTAGCACCCAAAGGTGGATCGACGATATGGTAAAGGTCGCGGGAAGCCGATGGATGCGGGCAGCGCAGGACCGATCGCCGTGGAGATCGTTGGGGGAGGCCTATGCCCAGCAGTGGGCGTCGTATGGTTGAATGATGGTGATGATGAATTTGTATGTTTCCCAAAGTGCACTTTTCGGATCAGGTAGGTTGATGTTAAAAATGGAAAGCACCGTAGGTACTCTCCGAAGGTCTTTATTATATGTACTAAAAATACAAGTGTAATTAAGGCGAGTCACAAGAGGAGAAGCAAGAAAAACTTTTTTGCTAGATGAAATGGCTCGGGTATTTACCATTAAATAACGATCTTGCAAAAATATACGATATATTGTCTAAAGCATGTGCTAATTCGTTGCACGGTAGGATGTCCATATAAAATCCCGAATATAGGCTAAAATAATAATCTAAAACGAAATATTTACGTACAAAGTAAATCTAGTTAACACACAATTTTTATATGGAGATATTTCTTAAAGAAGTACTACAGAGAACCGGCTAAATTTTAGTTTTCAACTGAAGCCATACAGTGCTTTTATTTACATTAGCGCAATCCGTTGCCCCGTCAGTCGCCGTCGGGCGCTTGTCGACGACGAACCTGTGTCAAATTTTCTCCGCCTGTTCTCATTTTATTCATATTAATTGTCAGCACGATAAAGCGAAGGTCCGCCATACCTCACTCGCGTTGAAACACTTCGCCTTAACAAATCGTATTCCCTTCACGAGTAAACTGTAGCAGCTTGTCTATATATTGATAAAATAAAGTACTTTGATATAGAGCTTACTTGGTAGGGTGATGTTTGGGCTTCCTGGTGCTGCGAAGATCAGGGCCCACTTTGATTTTAGGTACTTCGTGACTCGACCTGAAATCAGAGATCAGAAACATTGTGTGAACTGTTAGAGTCGGGCGTACAATGTCATTTAGGACAGGAGTGTCGCTTATCACCAGGGGCACTACCTGTTCGTTCCGTCACTTGGTAGTATAAAAAAGTCTGCCAACTGCTGTTGATGTCACTACATAGTCAACGGAGGGCAGTAGTCTGCTTACCCAAAGACAGGCCTAATGTGTATTATTAAAAACACATGATTAAAAATATTATGTCCAAAATTAAAAATTTATAGTAAAATTATTAAAAGTTAAATTTACTGATTATATTTATAAATGCTTAAATATAACGAATGGTAAACGGTGTAAAAAAAATTATTAATATACTCCCGGACACACAAATCGAGCCACCTTGCATTTTTATTCAAATAGGGCAGGACATAAAAATATTGTTATCACCGAAGACACTAGACCCAGTTTTATAAATTCAAATTATCCACAAGGACTCTAGCAAATATACCAATTTCAAAATAGCTTAGTAGTTTTCGATCAATCAAACATTGTTTAAGCTTGGGCCAATTAATACTGAAAATTTTCATTTTCAGTACTGGCTCGACTTACTCCCGGACGGAGTGTATGAGTAGAAAGAAACGAGTGTTAAGTTAAAAACAAATAAATCATGTGACTAAATAATGTGAATAAATAAAAACTGTATTTTGTCTATGCCATATCTAGATTCGGAATGAATATGTCCTAATTCTTACATCAATGTTTTTTGTTTGTTGCGTGTGACCATTGACCTACCAAATGTGACGGCCGCGTCGTGCAACTACCTTCGCAAAATAAATTAATATAGTATTGCAGATAAATTAATCTTAAATCGTATGATTCTAATTTTTATATAAATTATTAGTGCGCTTGTATTTGCTATTAAGTTTGATGTATCTTAAATTGATCTGTAAGTCAATGTATATTCTTAAGACAAAATAAATATTCTTTTCACCTCACTAGCTCGGAAAGGCTTTATCATATTTAATTACCGATGATATGTGGTTCCGTTTGTTTTGTAATTAGATGTTTTGCTGTTTTTCCCACACCACTGAATGCAACAATTAATAAGTAATAGTTAGATATATTATTTTTATTACAATAAATACAGAATATATTTAGAATCTTAGAATAATAACACATAGAAACCTAGTCCGCACACGCTAAGTGAGGGAAATTGAAGCGCGCCCAATGGGCCTACACGAGTGAGCGGGCCTTCAGTGCTCAAGGTCAACTTGCACCGCGAACAGATCAAGAATTTTAGCTAAAAATGACGAAATGTGCGGTAAATGAGTGTAAAAATATGTCAGACAAACATAAAATAGATACTAACATCACATTCCACAAGGAAGTAACGCGTTTCAACTTGTATTTTTATATAAATATTCACTAAAACCGAAAATTAACCTACTACCAAAACTAGCCTACATGAATTTGATTTTTGCCTCACTTATGACAGTTCGTTTGATATGAAACTATAATTCTATGCGTTATTATTCTAAGTTAAGAATATACAGAGATATTTAAAAGCGATATAGGTAAGGCCCGTGACTGCCTGATGAGTTGCCAGGGATGGCCATTATTTCGTCTCTATTTCCGATTTTATTCTCGATGTGTAATATAAATTAACAGTTGGTTTATTTTATTCTTATTATTGTTGACATTAAATTGACAACGATAACTAATTGTGTTTATTAAATTATTTTTATTCGTCGAAAAATTAAAATAATTTCAATAACCAATTACTTAATCACAAAAAATAAAAGTACAAGCAAGAATAAAAATTTATGGGGTATAAATTCAGAACGCATCCGAAGATAAACTTATACTTTCAATTAAAAAAACTGATG